TACCGGGACCCCACCCGCACCGAAGTTTGCTTTTTGATCCCCCCCCCCCTTTTGCGCAGTGTAGTCGCTCTGCACCTGGGCGGTGGTGTCCCAGGACGCCCCAGGGGACGCGTGGGGAAGTGCGGAGAGGACCCTATTCCTGCGGGGAAGTCTAGGCGCTTTCGGGTTTCCATTGTGACTCTGGGGGAGGGAGTTTGCGGAGCCTGGGCGCTGGGCGCGAGAGCTGGGAAAGCCCGGGAGACACTGGGACACCGAGTGGCTCCGAGAGGAGGACCCGAGGCGTGTGCACAACGAGGATGCAGGCAGCGGCCGGGAGACACCGAGGCGCGGAGACAGGGAGGGAGCCAGCCGGTGGGGGTGGGGGTGGGGACCGGGATGGGTGAGACCGAGACAAAGCTCGAGAGAGGGAGCCAGAGCGGGAGAGACTGTGCGCGGGGACGCTGGCTCCGGGGAGGGCAGAGCAGCCGCTGAAACAAGGAGGGCGGCCGGCACCCCAGATGCAGAGAGCGCCCCAGAGATCCCGACAGGTGACTGGTGCGCGGAGAGACTGAGAGAGGGGATGGGGAAGGCGAGGCCGGGTCGGGATGGAGAGAGAGGCGGGGGACGCAGCGAGAGGCCGGCGCGGAGAGGCGGGCGAGACCCGGGAGGCAGCGGCGGGAGGCTCTGACCTCTGCAGCGGCGGGGGAAGCGGAGGGGCCGAGGACGCTCCAGAGCGGGTCCCGGGATCCCTGGACCCGCCGCGCGCCGTGGGAACCGGCCCCCAGCGTCCGCTCTCCCTTCCAGCACCGCCTCGCCCAGTCTGGGCTACCCGCGCCGCTCTTGGAGCGTCCCCGAGGGTCCCAGACCCGGAGACCTTGGCTTCTCCTCCCCCTCCCTCTTCTGACCTGGAGCCTTCTTTCTAAATTAATGTCCCCCCTCCCCCCCGCGGGTGAGATGGGTGGGGTGGAAGCAGAAGGGGCTGCGCGATTTGCGCCCTCTCTCTGATTCCTTTTCTTAGAACTGAGCTGGGACACGGCCAGGGGGTGGGGCGGGGGGAGGGGTTCAGAGGAAAGCCACAGAGGGACCCTGGGCGGAGGCCCGGGAGGAGAGGGCTGCGTCTGCTCGCGAGGAACCCTCCCCCTGCCCTCCTCCCATCCCCCCTCCCCCGCTCGAGTAACCGAGACCCCTGGCGAGGCCCGGCGCGCTCACTCTTCCTTTTCTCCCCCCTTTTTTGCAGTTGTTATTGAAGATGATAGGATTGATGACGTGCTGAAAACTATGACAGACAAGGCACCTCCTGGTATTTAACTCCCCCAAAGACAATGGGTTAAGGGTGAGGATAAGAATAAGAACGGCGCTAACAGTTATTGGCAAAAAGAGTGTGAAAGGAGGAAGCACTTTGAAATTTATTACTAGCTTGCTACCTGCGATGGAATCAACAGCCTGTATGTCGAGTCAGGCCGGGAGACAGATGATGAGGCGGGAGGAGGAGGAGGAGGAGGAGGAGAAGGCTCTGGGCTCCTCTGCAAAAAATAAAATTAAAAAAATAAATAACAAAATCACTATATACACACACATATAAAGAAATAAAGTCTCAGTTGCAGCTATTTGTCAAAATTAATATCCATTTCTTTTTATATACAGTGAATGTTGCGCAATTATAGATCCGGATTTTGAACCACTTTAATAGTGAAGCGGCAGCACCGGGTGTTTGAGGTGGTGGCAACCTTCGCTGATTTGGCTGTTCCCAATGTTTACATTATTTAGTCTTGCAAAAATTATTCTGTGCACTTGGATGTGAAATGCTGTTCAGTTTTATTTTTTTATGTTGTTATCCTTGGATGTACAAAAAAAATACCAGAAAATGATCTGTATAGATATTCTGTTTTATTTTGGTCCTCTTTCAAAGTTAATCAGGAATGTGTTGAAGATAAGAGAACTTTTCTAAGAAATGATGGCTACATAGAAAGAATCCCTGTTTTATTTTAAAATGAATTGTAAAGCTGTGTTTCTTTCTTGCTGCAAGCTATTTGCCCAAGTTAATGCAAATGGATACATTTTTCTATGTCAGGAAAGAAAAACCATAAAAAAAAACAAAAACAAAGAAAAAAAATGCTTGAGCTTTTTCTAATCTCTCTCTGCAGTCTGTTGGGTGAGCAGCCTGTTTTTTTCTCTGATATTGTGTCAGTTTGTTTTCTTTAATGGACTGTAAAAAAAAAATGTAATCACAAGAGTGCCAAATATCTTGAAATGCCAAACGGCATTTTGGTTTCTTTTCTTTTTCTTTGTGCTCTGAGTCCACGTAAAGGAATGCTTAGAGTGTCTTTTCTGTTATTTATAGGGGTTCTCTTAAGGCACACCAGCTGCCTGTTTTGCATGGTATTTGCAAAAATGCCTCTTGCGTGAGGAAATCTTTTACCATCTTTTCGTTTGCAACTTTGGACCTCAAGAGGTTTCTTCCCTTCCCTTCCCTGGTCCTCTTTTCTTAATTCGATATTCTGTATGTTGCACCTTTAACCAGCACACAGGGCTATTTCTCCGATGTACAATAAAAGAACTGTTCCTGTGTCTCACTCCTCTCTTTTCTCTGCTTTGGTTCTGGGGGATTTGCTTTTTGCCTGTGAAGCAAAAAGGCAAAGTGGGAGGCACTGTGGACTGGGCTCCCATGGTAGGAAAGACAAGCTGGACAGCAAGTTCAAAGAGCAAGTTCATTCACTCTGTGGATTTTCGCTGGGCCTCCCTGCTTCCCTGAGGTTCCTGCTGTCGCTGGTGGGTGTGGAGAGAAGGAGGGCTGGTGTGTAGGGCGGCAGTCTTGTTAAGAACAGTGTTTGGAGGCTGGCAGACTGGGTCTCAAATCCCAGCTCCTTCACTTCCTAACTATGGATTTGAGCAAGACCCTTCACTTCTTTAAGCCTTTCAAAATCTGTGAAGTGGGGATAAATGCAGCTCCCACCTCACAGGTTGTTGGGAGGGTTAACACAATACCTAGCCCTCAGGATCATATGTCCATATAATCCTTTACCGAGGGCCACCTGTCCGAAAATGCAGGGCCGAGGAAGAGCTAGGCCCCCCTCACCCCCTCTCCTTCCTGAGTTCACTGGTCCTGGCGTGAGGGATGAGTCTGGTCCTCTGGGGTCCATGGCCTGGGGGTGTCTCAGGCTTCCTCACTCAGAAGCTTCCCTGCAACCACTGCTCAAAAAGGCTCCTTATGAAAAAACTTCTCAGCCCCTCGTGTTCAGGGCAGTTAATGGCGGTGGAGCAGGCCCCTGGGGAAGGAGGGGTTGGGAGAAGGATTTTGGCTGAAGAAAGTCTGTTCCACATCCAGGAGCCCCAGTGCCGGGAGCTTTTAATGTGTTTGTTGTAAAACTGTCAGCCTGGGAGTCACAACACAGCTCACAGTGACAGGAGCCTGCCTGTGACTCAGACATCAGGTAAGACAGGCCTTGGGGTGCGGTTGGGGGGAGGGGAAGAGGGGCTCCAGAGAGCCTGTGGGGGAGGGGAGATGTCTCATTCCCCCTTCCCAGGCAGTGGAGGCCCAGAGCCCAGGAGCGCCCCGCAGAGAGCTGGTCCTCCCATCAGTCGTCATGAGGAATGACGGGCAAGCTGGTATTATTGGCAGTGCCCGCAGGGTGACTTGGGAAGGTGAGATTGATTTTCCCAGACGCATGCCCCTGTTCCTGAACCTGCCTCTGCTCCCTGCTGATCTCAGAGAATTCCAGCATTTTGGAGCTAATGGGACTTGAGCCCAGCTTTTCCCGTGAGAAGGCCCAGGGGTGCCTCACAGAGAGTTAGGGACAGGGTGCACCTTCTGTGTGCCATCCATCTGCCAAGATGGGTAGGAGCCATATGGAAAGCTTCTCTCAGAAGGCACACATATTCGCACCCCGGAGTAATTCCCACTTACCTGAGCCAAGCACTGCAATTCCAAAGTGCTTGCCCTTCCATCCTTTCACATAATCGGCCCAGCAACCCTGGAAACCCACCACCATGAACTCTCTTTAGTCGGGGAGGAAATTGACACACCAGAAGGTTTTGCTAAAAGGACCACAGGGCATCCACATGAATTAAGCTTTGGCTGTCTACCCCACTCACAATAGGCCTATGAAGTAGGCATTATTATCCTGATTGTGCAGGAGCAGCCAGGGCTCAGAGACATGAAGTAGCTTGTATGAGGCCACTCAGCTGGTTAAGTCGCTGGGACAGAACTCGAACCCAGAGCCCAAGCTCCAGGATGGGGATGCAGAGTCATCTGACCCCAGACCCGGGCCCAGTCTCCGCTGCAGCCACTGTCCGTCAGCCGTAAAGATCCTCTTGTGGGTTTGTTGTTTTGAGGCTGGGCTCTCCTGCTATGCTGCACAACAGACAACTGCAGAAGGGATCAGAGGAGGCAGGGCTTGATGTGGTCAGCGAAGGCCCTGAGCTGCCCTCTGCTGGGAAGGGGGGAGCGTGGGAGCCCTTGGCCGAGGCTCCAGGTCCATTTTAATAAGTGATGTATTAAAATGTTCCTGCTGGAGGCCACCCCGTCAGCCAAAGCAGGAATCTCGGCCTGGGAAGTCAGTCCGCCTTTCCGGAGGACTCCACTCAGCAAAAGAGAACATAAATCTTACACATCCACTCTAACATCAGGGTGAGCATTTGTTGAGAAGGCACTTTGGGGACTGGGCAGATATCAAATTATACCAAGTGCAGGATGTCTGGTTAGGTAGCAATGCATATGAAAAGGGCCATCAACAGTCCGAGGTGGGGGAGGGTGTCTCCACGCCTCCATGCATGGATGGAGCATCCGTGGCTGCATCATTCAAACGCCACTAATTGAATGCTTGTAATAAGCATCCATCTCTTCAGATTCTGCTTCTGTGGCCTGTCCAGGCTGACAGTCTGAAGGAATATCAAAAAGCACCTCCAAGAGGGAAATTGGCAAATTAAGTTTTAAAAGAAAGAGACTTAAAAATTACTGCTGTCTGGAGGCCCCAGATGAAGGAGTGAGCTCTGCAGACAGCAGGCAGCAAAATCCGGGGCCCTGAGGACCCAGCGGGAGGGGCAGGCTTTAAGGAGGCTGCTGCAAGAGTAAAGGGCTCGAATTTAGGACTTAGGTGACTTGGATTGGAAACTTCTCTGGTATGCTTTCTAGTTGTGCCTTGGGGCCAGTTTCTCAAGCTCTTTGGGCTTCTGTAAAACGGGGGTGACAAAATGCCTACCGCACAAATAAACAGAACCCCCTTTCTCCTTCCCAGCACAGGACCTGGTGCATAATAAATGGTAGCCATCAATATGAACATACTAGAGGCCTGGTGCATGAAATTCGTGCATGGGAGGGGGGGATGTCCCTCAGCCCGGCCTGCACCCTCTCTAATCCGGAACCCCTCGGGGGACATCCCTCTTGCAACCCTGAACCGCTGGCCCCTAACCTCTCGCCTGCCTGCCAGCCTGATCCTCCTAACTGCTCTCCCCTGCCGTCCTGATCACCCCTAACTGCCTCTGCCTTGTCCCTGCCACCATGGCTTTGTCCAGAAGGACATCCAGTCTAATTAGCATATTACCCTTTTATTAGTATAGATGTGAAGTGCCTACTATGTGCTAAGTGATGGACTTTCAAGACCTAGCAAACAGTTCTGGCTGCACAAAGCTTCTTTGCAGATGTTTTTTGGCAGCCCAGAGCTGACACCCAGGGTACTAAGGGGCAGTGGTGGCATCACCGTAGGGTTGGGGAGGAGGGAGGAGTCAGCTTGCTTCTCATTATCTCCATCAGCTCCCAAAGCACCCAACAAATCCAATCCTAAGTAAATCTATGTGCTTGCTTCCCAAAGCAGTGTCAAGAGAAGTCTCCACCCCCTTCTAACCAGATTGTCTGAAGTCTTCGCTCTATGGATGGAGACTAGCAGGTAGGACTTTTTGCCTAGGAAGGGAAGAGCTTGGCTTTCTGCTTGGATCCCTTCCTACAGATCCTCCTCAAGCATTTTATTCATTTGACAGATGTTAACTTAGCACCTACTGTGGGCCAGGCCCTGTGCCAGGCTCATTGGGTATGAAATGGTGAGGAAGTGAGTTTTCCCGGCTTGAAAATGATGATAGTTGCCATGAAAATGAGGTGGGAGCTAGTGGCTTGGATACTCTGAAAGTCAGCGGCTCAGATCCTTAATTCTGGCAAAAAGAGGGAACCAAAGGGAACTGGGTCTTGGAATTGCCTGAAATGTAAACGTGAGAGCCACTTTAAAAAAACGAAACTTTTACTTCAGAATAGTTTCAGGTTTGCAGAAAAGTTGTGAAGATAGTGCATCTACCCCTGACCCAGTTTCCTCTATTGTTCACATCTGTCATTACTACGGTACATTTTTCACAATGGAGGAGCCGACATTGGTCCTTTATGATGAACTGAACTCCACTTTTCATTCAGATTCATTCATTTTGATCTGTCCCAGGATTCCATCCAGAATACAGCATTAATTTTAGTCATCGTGTCTCCTTAGGCAGCCCTTGGCTCGACAGTTTATGAGACTTTCCTTGTTTTTTTCTTCTTTTTTAAAATATATTTTTATTGATTTCACAGATGAAGGGAGAGGGAAAGAGAGAGAGAAACATCAATGATGAGAGAGAATAATGGATCGCCTGCCTCCTGCATGCCCCACACTGGAGATTGAGCCCACAACCTGGGCATGTGCCCTGACCTGGAATCGAACTGTGACCTTCTGCTTCATAGGTCGACGCTCAACCACTGAGCCACACCGGCCGGGCTTTCCTTGATTTTGATGGTCAGGTGTTTTGTAGACTGTCCTCAGCTGGGGTCTGTCTGATGTTTCTCTCATAGTTCAACTGGGGTTAGGGGTTTTGGGAGGAAGACCATGGAGGTAAAGGATCATTCTCATCACATCAGGTCAAGGATGCATGCTGTCAACATGGCTTATCACTACTGACGCTGACCTTGACTTGGGATTCTTCTGTCCAGGTGATGCAAGTGACCCACTTATCCGCGGTTCAACTCTGCCCAACTGAGCAAGCCACTGTGGTCTAGATGTAATCGTGAGTTCCAGGCAAACCGGGGAAAAACAGAAATGCCACAAGGCCCAAGGTACTGCCTGATGACCGATAGATGGAACCTTACCAAAGAGAAAAAAAAAAAGAGAGAGATGAAAAAAACAACCAGCACCCTAATAAAAGCAACTTCCTGTGGAGGGGAGCTGTCACTCTGCTTAGAAACTGTGCAGAATTTTCTCTTGGAAACCTTCAGGCAGCTGCTCTAGTTTATAAAATCTGCCTATTGGAAGGAAGGAGAAGGGGAAAAACGGTTGTCGTTATTCCAGCAACAGAGATTCTCCCAAACCATGTGCAAAAATAAATCCCTGGAGACCGAGCTGTATCCGGGGAAACCTGGCCTCGGGGCAGGAGCCTGTGGGGTGGGTCCTGGGGATAGCGAGCCTGTGTCCTCTGGCCCCAGACACTTCTCCAGTGGGACCAAGAACCCAGAAAGAGAGCCCCAACTTGCCGGCACTGCCTCCCCTCCCCCACTTTCCCCCTTTTCTGGATGAAGACTGGTGTCTGGCGTCACCTCTCACATGGGAGGGTTTGTTCTTAA